ATACGTGACATAGCTTCATTATAGATTAAAAACACCACGTGAAATTAGAATAAAAATAAATAACAGTTTTACATAATCATAATCAAATAGAAACAACTATTCAACCGTAGTTGTGTCACTTTCAAGATATGAGCTTCCATTGGCTTTTGAAGAGAATCTAGCCCACCTTTGTACAGGTCTAGCTGAAGAAGTCTCTGCCGCATAATATTCACAAAGATCTAAAATTTAGTACTCGGTGTCTTTAAGCAAAGAGATCATAATCAATAGTTCTAGCATTATACTATAATAGATTGAAGTAAGGCAGTTTTGTACAATGTTTATAAATGGAACACATTACCATATACTCATCAACCTTTAAAAGCAAACCAAAAACTCAAGGTCAAAAATAGTGTTAAGTTCACCATACACATGGTTACAATTACTATGGTAATTCACTTCATTATTTCACAATGATAATGTTAAGCAATATTTTTTCCAGCCATAATGGTTAGAGAGGCCCCGATTGAAGCCACAAAAATTAGAAAACGGGAATTATTTTGGGAAAAAAAAATCATACATGCACATCTAATAGAGTTGAACTTCACTTTGACCATTTAGGTTCATTGCACATGTAACAGAGTTGAACTTCAAATGAAGTGAGGAAGAATTGAATCGTCCTTCCTCCCTATTTCTTTACTATACGTAAAATACATGCTTGAATCTTTTGTTAAATCAATAATCATTATGTTCATTGCACAACAATGTGATAAGACTAAATGCAAATACATACATCATTATCACAATAAAATAGACGACTACAATCTACATTTTAGTTTAGTGCCAAAAATGAAGAGAAGGGGGGGGGTGGATACATATTCACATTGAGATAAATTTATCTCTTAAAAATGCACATAGAGCAAACTATATGTGAATTCAAAAAACAATAGCAAAAAACACACATTTACCGAACTTATCTATTGAAAAATCACATACAGCAAAAGCACACATCCACATCTATATAGCAAGATCTGACCATAGAATAAAAAAAATACACAGAGATAGAGAGAACAAAACCTAGTCGCGTAAACCTAGCGTAAGAAGAAAGATTGACTGTGAGATCGCCTTTACTCTTTTGAGCCTCTTTCCTCAAGTCTTCTAGACTCGATCCCTCTAATATCTCCATATTAGCTCATACTAAGTATTGTAGCAGAAAAACCAAAAAACAAATACAAGATGGCAGTGGGAAAGATGTCAGTAAAAAAATCATGAGTTTATGCATGAGAAACAATACAAATAAACAATAAACAATACATAAGCAAATCTATGTACAAATAGCACATTTTATCATAGTTATCAAAATCGTACGATTCGGTTCGATGTAGGTATAAAATAATTCGTATCTTATATACGAATCATTTTTAGAATTGAATCGCATCTGAATCATACTATTTGTATAATCCAATTCGTATAGCACGAATCGCACTATTTAGCCACTTTTTTTTATAACCTAGATTTTTGGGAAAACGATCTCATTTTGGTCGTTAAACAGTAAACTGACATCGTTTTGTTTGCAGAGAAACCCATACCCTATTAAAAACTTAGCTTCTTTACTCACGTATGACATCGTTTAAAGCTCGTCTCGCATTGTCTAAAGTTATAGATCACGGCTAACGCTTTCGCATTATCGGTTAATTTTTGCTCTCAATTCTTTCATAGGTAGTTTGTTAGGTTCTAATTTTTTGTTTCAAAATGTTGGCATGTATGTTTTCTCCCAATTAATTTTCTTATTTGTTTCTTTTTCATTCATGTTTGTGACCTAATCTATACTAGGTATCACTATTCTGGTTCTTGAATAGACATGGTTCTTTAATGATTTTTTTTTTCAAGTTGTTGAATTTAAAAATAGTTAAACAAAAAATGAAAATGAAACAAAAAGCTAGCATATTTTCATTTAGGCGACGTGATTATGTCAATTGATTATTTTTAGATTGCAATAATAATGTTCAATATTCAATACTTTGAGTATTTTAAATATTGTGTATTTTTTTTATTTTTGTTCAAATTTTGTATTGAATTTTACAATTCAGGATTCGATACGATTCACGATTCTCAAATTTAAGATTCTAATTCACAATACGAATTTGTGATTTGACAACTATGCATTTTATACCTACCAGTCATGGGAATGAGCGATCCACAAAGTAATCTACCTAATCCCTTCATATAACGCACTACAATCTTCAAAAAAGAAAAGAAAAGAAAAGAAATCTATCCAATTCATGTCATCAATGCTTCAAGATCACAACTACTGTACACAAAATCAATGTACTCAATACAATATTAAACTTCTCAAACAAATTATTGAAACTAAGGAACACTTAACAATCCCGCTAAGATTCAAACCAAACACAAAATCATGAAAAAATTAAATCATCACAAACAACATTAGTTAAAAGAAAAAAAAAAGATCAAATTGTCAGAGTAGTTATGATTTGTCAAGTTACCACACAACCAAAGAACATTTTCATTGTTTTAGTTCACATAATAGGTGTTCACATTGAATTACAAATGGGACGAACTTCAAATGCCTAGAGTTCTGCAAAAAATAATTGAATGAACAATAAGCATCAAAGAAGAATCTCAAAACAACCATCAATTCAACAATCAAATTTTAATCCAAGCATCGAATTTCAAAAGATTTGTAATTAAGCATTTTCAAGGAACCAATTGAAATTCAAATTGACACGTTTGAAGAATAGAAAATTCCATAATTTTAGCAATGAAAAACACCAAACTAGAAGGGTGGAGACATTGAATTACAAACATTCAAATGTATAACTTATTTATAAGTATGTTTACCAACATTATAATAAGGCAATAAGAACAAAGACATACTCACAATACAACTATCTTTCTCAACGTTAGAAACTATTTGGTTTCGCCGCCCTGTCCTACATCGGTCTCAAAAAACTTCATTCACTGCACCAAAGAAGCAAGAGTCATCTCATGCTTTCAAAACCCCAAACACACTAAAATATGATAGATGAATCAACACCTTGCAAAATCTCTACAAATGTAACCAAACATATGATTTCAAGTTGACTAAGGAACAAAATTACATGCATAATTAAGCAGTACATTAGAGAATTTTTAACTTTAAATAGATGCAGTTTGAACTTTTGCCACTCAATAAAGCAATAAATGGAACAATCTATAAACTCTACAAAGTTGATAATTAAGTCCATAGGAAAAGATGTACCAAAAAAAAGAGATTTGCTAAACTGGAAAAAAAAAAATAAAAAGAGAGATTCGCTCCTTGTAATGAGCAAGTAACTGAGAACAAAAACTCTTAAAAGGCAATACAAAATCAAATTCCATACCCACAATCCACCCACATAAACACTTAATTTTAGTTTAACCCAATTTCATGAAATTAACACCAAATTTCATACCATTAACAAAATCCTAACATTCAATTAGATCAAAACACACGTTAACATGAACAAATGGAACACAAAAAAATGGAACTAATTTGTAAAGGAAAATTGGGAAAACAGAGCTAAGATGATTCCTTTTGTGATAGGGGTTCTTTCAACATGAACTCAGAGCCACACAAAACAAAAAGTTACAATAAAACTTAAGGACATAATCAAAAGTTAATTGAGAAAATTTCTTAAACTCGTAAACCTTTATAGATTTCAAACAAAATAGATCACATTCAAAGTGGTATGACACTAAAAATAAATAACCTAGCTATTCTCAAAATAAATAAAATATTACCTCACAACATGAGAGTGTCAAGTGGACGTGATCGCTGCTTGAGTTCAACCATAGCAAACATTTCCTTCAATTTGCGTCAAATTGAACCTAATGGCAATAGAAACCATGTTTATCAGAAAAATCGACCCATCATTCCACAGAAGAGTTGGAAATTAACCAACCTTTATATATCAATGAAGCAATAACATTCAAACCAATTTAACATTCAAAACACCCAAACTATAACAATCAAACTATAACATTCAAGTTATAACAAAACTTATCAAACTAATTTGAAAAAACACTCAAATGAACACCAAAATTATCAAATCAATTTGTGTGTTATTTTGATGTTGTGTGTATGTAGCAATAGCAACAATATAATACATTCAGTGTAATCCACCACGTGCAACTTTGTGAAAGCAAAATTTATGTCCGTAGAGGGTAGTACATCTACGGAATTTTGTGGCAACAATTTAACCAATTACTTTCCTATAGAAATAAATGCATCACCATGTCCTCTAAAGGGGTAGTATAAAGAAGAATTTTGTAGCACCAATTTAACCAAAGCAAATTTGATGGTAGGGATTATTTATTAGGTGTGGGTACACTAAACACATTATTTATTAGGTACGGGTTCAATACATCAATCTACTAGTAAAGTGAAAAAAAAGAACTAAATCCAATATCTAAGACACTAAGCATACAATCAAACATATTACGCCAGCCACCCATTGGCAGAGTTAATATTAAAAAATGCAATCAAACATAAGCAACGCATCCACCCAAGAACACATTTTAAGATTGTCAGGCCATATGGTGAAAATGAATTTAACTACAACATCATTTCTCTATCAAACTCCACCGTTCAAATACTACAATACTACTTTAATATGATGAATATCAGAAAATGTTAATTGGTCCCCTGAAAATATTTTTAATCCAAGCAACAATTTAATCAAAACATCCAAAAAAACAAAAACATTCTAGAGCATCCAAATTCCAATTGAAAATTGACAACTTGATATCTCATCAAAAGTATGCATATTAATATGCTGAAACACGTCTATGAACCTATCAATTTTATTAGGCTATTCATATTAAACAAAAATTCACAGGAGTTCAAATTAAATATAAAATTCATATTCAAAACCACAAATAATATGTACATCACCAATGCAGACAAAATACTCAAAAATTCAAGCCAAAACTCTCACTTCAAAGCACCAAGGTGGAGTAGCTATATAACCCCAGATTGACTCTCAGTATGGAGGAGGCAAACCTGAAAATTATGGAAGAACCATAAATTTAAAAAAGCACAAATAAAAGTAGAAACGTATTAGAGTAAAGAAATTGACAACTTCTGACCAGTACAGAATGTGTTTGGTTGCTTCATTTACAAAATTTTTTTTAAATGATGGTGTCCTTTAATTCCAAATAAACAAAAAAACTCCATACTAAAAGCTAGATCAGACTTCATAGATAAATTCAATCTTACACAATTAAAAAAATTTATCACTCAAGAGGTTGTCCAATTTTTAGGCATTTCAACAAACATATTATGTGCAATATACCAAGCTTAAAAATAGTTATTCACCAACTACCGCAACATGATAGTAAATCCAAAAATCACATGCGAACAATACTTATAATATTATAATTGCGAATCGACAAATAAGGATGTCTGTTGTTCAACTAATCCAACTGAATTCAGGCCAAAAACGTAAATTTAAATCTACATTAATCATAGAAAGATCTAAATTGAAAAAGGGATGAAAGTAGTCATACAGAGATCGCACCACATTACTTAACATAAAATCCAACAAACTTCAGCATTTATGCATAAATTTGATAGAATTTATTATGTTCAAACGCAAGTTCTAACATAAGTTCAAAAGCATATTGTCAGCATTTACACAATAACTCTACAGCACTCAAAGCATAAGTAACTTAATTATAGAGACCAAAAGCATGACCAGTCAAATGCCACAGAAGCTGAATGAATTAACCACAATATCAACAATGGTAAACCAACACTAAAGCACCCACAACATCACCAACACCCTCTAGGTGTTACCATCAGGACAGTCACTTCCAGTACCACAACTAAAATGAATCCATTAGAGTCTATTTGCCAACATTTTACCATGTCCACACGACCTCGAACAACCTATCCAATCAAAAAAAGAATCCCATTAATAGAAACACTTGAAGGACTTCAATAAGACCATAAACCCATTACTTTATATTTTTTTTCCCATTTCTCATTACAAAGAACTATTACTAATACGATCAAAATAAAATTCAATTACAAACCTGGCAACTTGCAAAATGTAATAGCAAGAGAGAACTATGTTATGTATTGTATTGAACATATTGAAAGGAAAGTTAAATAAAATATGAACAACATACCATAAATTTTATCTGTGGAACATCAGCCATCAAGTGGACCACTTCCTCAGAAATTGAACTATGAAAATCAAGTACCAAAATGTGAACACTATGAAAATATCATGTGGAGCCCCATTTTCTCTCATGACACACATACGATAAATCAATACACTTTTGGTACTTGATGGAAGAACATAGTGAGTCAATTTGTCGAATCAAAGACTCCTTAGATCTCTGAGAAATTTCCTCGACCATGTGGTTGGTGTGGTTTGTGAAAGGTGACCTTCTTTGGGATGTGGCGTTGGTTGTTCTAGTTTGGGGAAAGAGAAAATTTCTTAGATTGTTTTATGTGTTGTGTGTGTTTTGTGCGTGTTGTGTGTGTCTCTTCGTGTGGGTGTATTCAACTATGTGTGTATGTGCGTTGTGTGTGTCTATGTTCGACTATGTGTGTGTGTGTGAGAGAGAGAGAGAGAGAGAGAGAGAGAGAGAGAGGAAGATACCTAGCAGATGAGCGACTGGGTTGGGCGAGATCGATTGCTAAAGCCATGGGGGGAGAAAGAGAAAGAGTGAGAGAGAGAGAGAGGACGCCTGAGGAGGCGTGTGTGTTGCAAAAGTTGGGTGGGATTTGGGTTTTGATTGGGATGAATTGTAAGCCATTGGATTTAAATGGCTGGGCTTAGATGAAATCTGAACCGTTTACCTATATTTCAATTAAATCCTAACCGTTCTTTAACTTTTCTAAATTAATAGAGGTGATTTCAATTTGGAAGATTCAAAATACCCTCTATCTTATTATTATAGATTACAACCACCCCAATAATATAAACACTGGTGATGAATGGTAAAATACAAAAAATATCAATTTGGTATACAAAAAACATCAATTTGTTAGTTCTTTAACTTGTATACACAATTTTCATAACCAAACTACAACGTAACACACATTCGATACTACAGAGACGAAAAGAAACACACAAATGGAATAAAAAATACAATGTTATTTCTTAAAGTGTCCAAACCCATAAACAAAATCCAATTTTCTTCCTCAACATCGCACATTAACACTTCATGTCACCAACTACAGAAAGCACACAAAGAAATTGTATAGTTTTGATAAACATAATATATTCCACCTTAATTGGTATACCAAATTCACAAAACCTACTGAAAAAATCTTCCTTTTTAGTCCTAATTAACACTTCCCACGTCAAACGACAACATAAGCTAATTCATACTTTGAAAGGCTCTATGAAACACAAAAATTCATACATTCGAAAAAAAAATTAAGCATGTGTTTTGAAACTATAGGCATGCATTTTAAATTGTTTCCACATAAAACATGCCAAACTTCATACATCCATGAAGCATGCATTTTAAAACTATATGCATCTGAATAAAAGCTCTTGGTAGTCCCATTGAAAAATTTTCCATGTCTTTTGTTAAGTAAGAAAAGCTTTATTCCACCGTCCAAGTAAACATATCAAACAAACTCAACTCAAAGTACAATAATTAGTCTTATTAATTTTAAAAATCCAGCAAAAAAATCAAGCACAGACATATATTAAGTAAGAAAAGCTTTATTCTTCCGTCAAAGTAAACTTATCAAACAAACTCAACTCAAAGTACAATAATTAGTCTTATTAACTTTAAAAATCGAGCAAAAAAATCAAGCACAGACATATATTTGCTTGTGATTTTAAAAAGCATGCTTCATGGGTGCCTATTTTTAAAAAAAAATCATAAGCACAACATTTTTGGAACTAAATATTTTCAACCGGACACACATATGCACAGACATATCCAGTACTTTATGCAATAATCTGTTGAAAAAAAATAAAAGTAATCCATGATCTCGAAAGAGTAAAAGAAATGGACAAAAAGTAATCCATCATTTCTATAGGAAAGAAATGAATGAAAGGGGGGTTATTGTAAGCCTGAGGCTTTAATGTCATCTACATGCTTCCTTATTTTAATTTCAAAAAACATGAACAGCCTATGAATATTTCAAACCACAACAAACTCAATGAAATCTTTCTCATTTATAAGGTAAATGAATTTCAAAATTGTTCACAAACAAAGAAAAAAGGTAGACAAAACCAACCTATGATAAACTGCAAGGAAAATTCGTTGGTTAAACTAAACCAAGGAAAATTATGTACTTCACACTGCAGGTCAAATTCGTTACTAACCATCATTATGCTCATGTACGGCAATAACATTTATCAATTCTTAATGTACACACGTAGAATATAGTGCCCCTTCAATCTGTTCTAATTTAAACCCGTGCATGTAGGAAAGGGACCCTGAGACCACATCTCAAACTGGCACTTTGTCCTGCAAGCCTAATGAAGCCATGAAATATGTTGGTTGTCCTCAATTAGAAACAACCATTAGCATTCCTTAGCTCCTCACCATCCTCTCACCCTATGTTAAATAACCTTCAATATAGTTTCTCAGCTTTTAAGATTTGCATCTATAGATCAATCAAAAGAATTGCATATCAAGAGTGATAATAAGAAAGAAAAAAAAGGGTAACTTTATTGCTCACCTTATACATGCTAAATACTGCTTCATTCCAACTTGTTTTCAATAGTTTCCTGTATCCATCAGGATTGAGAAGCTATATAAAATCTACACCGCAGGTATTTCCCCGATGATTAGGATGGCTAACCCACTGTGTGAACAAACAAAACATGAGAAACCAATATAAGTTACTACATCATTTTCATCAGAAGTAATTGAGATTATCAACTAAACGTGAAGTAGTGACCTTGTGCGCATCTGCATCAGTGTACTGATGAGCAGTATCATATGATGACACAAACCCTTGAGATCTAAGGAATTTGTAAACATGACCTCGTTTGCTCCCATTCCAGTCACTGAAAAGGGAAAAGAAATTTGTCATATCAAAAATACTTGGTAGTTTGTAAGACCACTCAGACAAGAATACAATTACTCAGAACTTACATGCACAATATAATGGGCAATGGATTAAGCTTATTTTCCTTCTGATATGACTCGACATGCTGCAAGATTTTGTAGACCTATTAGAAGACACACAAAATACAGGTTAAGAATACAAACACCAAATATTATGAAAATGAAGTGAGATGCGTACAAACCAACAGTTTGACAAAGTAGTTTATCTACCTGATGCAATCGTTCCAGACAATAACTTGAATCATGAGGAAATAATAAATGGGTGTTCACTATATGAATTTCTTACCGAACATTGTTGCTACGATATTGTGTTTAGGGTGCGACAATTCAACATATAATAGCTGAGCAACACGATCTGTTTTAATTTAAACCACAAACTAAACAAAAATAAAGCAACTATTCCACTAATATATTGAATAGACCAATTAACCATGAACAATGTATATAATGGGGAAAAAATAATAAACAATTGTGAAAAATAGGGATAGAGGAGAGAATTTTGTGTGTGTGTGTGTCTCGTGTTTGTGTTGGGTGATGAAGACAGCGAAAGGGATACGAAGACGGCCAGAGAATGACAGAGACAAATCACCACCAAACTCGGACTTAAAAGGAAAAAGAATTTTATTGGTAAATATTTCTCTATGGCATTTTAACAAACACTTCATGTGCCATTGATTGGAGCTGTGGGGAAGGGGTGTGGTCATGCTGGTAACCGAAGATGGAAGAGAAAGAGGGGAAAAGAGAAAGAGAAGGAGGGAGGGACAAAGGGAGAGATACCTGGAGAGTGAGAATCGTCGTTGCTGGCGGTGTGAGAGTGAGAGAGGAACAGAGCTGTGGTGGGTCACTGTTTGGACAAACAGAGAAGAGAGAAAGATAGATCAGTGAGAGGGGTTAACGGTCGGATGAGAAGGGAGGGGAGAGAGGAGTGAAATTTGGGGAAGGGTGCTTGACAGAGATGGATTTGTGGTAAACGTCCAGGATGATTTTGGGGGAAAACGAGAGGTTGTCGGTGGCCGTCGGATGAATTGATTTGAGACTGTTGGATGTAGCAGTTGTCATGTTTTATTAGTATAAAACTACCTATTGAAATAAAACTAAAAAATAAAAAAAAAGGTCCAAGTCATTCTTAACATAACATGAATTTACAACTAAAATTCATGTTTTATTATTTTATTTATTTAAATAAAATCAAAAATAAAAATCTAATTTTTTTTTAAAAAAAAAATATAGTTAGTATACAATTATAATATCTATTAAAATAAAACTAAAAAATTACATAAGGGGTCAAATTGTAAGGAACACAATATCTTTTAGATTCAATATGGATAATTTGGTATTTTAATTTGGTCGTTTAAACGACCAAATTAAATTCTAATAAATAATATAATTGTATACTAATTATAATTTTTTTAAGAAAAATTTAAATTTAAATTTTTTTATTTTATTTTAATATATGACATAATAGAACATGAATTTTAACTGTAAAATTTAAAATATTTAATATTCTATCTTTGATTGAAATATTTTTGGTCTAAATATAACATTTTAAACTTAAGGGGGTCTAAGTAAAATATGTTTACCAACTTTAGAGAGTCTGAATGTAATTTATTAATTGATATATTTACGGCAGGGGTTCTAAGTGTTTACCACGTAGGAACTTTAAAGGGTCTGAGTGTAATACTTCAAATATCAGGGATTTAAGTTATTAAGTGACAAATTTCAAGGAGTGTGAGTGTAATTCTCCCAAAAAGATATTTGGGTGATGTGTGTGTGTGTGTGTGTGTGTGTTTTTAAAGTGGGCGAGGGATGGATTTGGGTGGGTTAGATCGTGAGCCATTAGATTAGATATAAGTAGATGGGTTTAGAAGAGATCTGAATCATTTATTTAAACTTTAATTAAATTTTAATCGTTGTTCTGCTTTTTAAATTGGGGGAGTTGATTTCAATTGAAAATTTTTTAATTTGTCTCTATCTTATTAATATAGATGTGTGTGGTTGTTTTTGTATTGTGTATAAAGTTTAACTTAATTTTACTATTGTTATTATGCTTTGGTTCTAGTAGTTGATTCGAGTTATATTTTCTTTAAGTACTTGATTGTACCAATAATTGACTTTTTAACACAATCAAAATTGTGTTTTCCTATTTTTAGGAAAAATTGTCAAACTTTGTCAAAATTGTGTAAAAGAACAAAAAAAGTTTTGATTAACTATTGTCGATTTTTTTATTCAGCATAATATAATGTCTTTACAAGAATATTCATATTGGTAATACTTGGTTGAACATGTATACAAAGTATGGGTGTGTTAAGGATGCAATTTAGGTTCAACTTAGTGCGTGTTCATGTTCAATGTTTGATTTTTTTGTAAATTATATACTACATTTAGACACAGGTTATCCCTATCTATAATAATAAGATGCAACCCAAATTAAATCAGTTAGAACTTAGAAATACATAGACGCCACTACTCACACAAGAATTTGTGCATGCACTCCTTGATGTTTATGAGCAACCAACTAGATTGAGAATTAATAATGATGTAAAATAATTTTTTTTCTTCTTTGATTGTGTTTAAGATTAATGTTTACTTTTTTTTTGAATTACATCGTGCCTTTAAATACGGGGTTAAAGTTCAGACATTTCTGTGGTGGTAACTCCTAGCTCCAAAGAAGATGAAGTTGAAGGAACTTGTTTCTCTCTTTGTGCATGTGTGCTTTGTGTGTGCAATTTGCATGTGTTTTGTTTGTTCCATGTTTAGTTCAGCAAACTAATTACACATGGTTATGAGAATATGTTTGGTTTGATGTGAATTGACGATTGGGTATGTAATTGAGTTGTGATGAATGATAATTGTGGCAAAAATAAAATTAAATTGTAGTGGTACGAGGCATTATGATGATTGAATTATAAATTGTGAGTTCTATAAACAGATTGAAATTTTCTTAACATCTTATTTTTAGAGAAAGTTTTGCTGAAATTCTACAAAATTAGTGGTGATTAGATTGATTTCAATTTATTTAATTGAAGCAAATGATGTAAAAATTATTTCAAAATGACAATTTCTTTTATGTTGTAAAGTGCCTTTAGGCACGTTAGTATTCTTCAAGTTTTAATTCAATTTTTGCTGATCCTCCTCTTCTTCTTCCTTTGTGCTTGTGGTTTCACAACGCAAACACCAACTCTAAACCCTACCACCACCACCACCACAAATAGGCTGCTACTCACAAGAAGGGTTGTAGTAAGTCCAGTAACAGAACCAATGCCTATTAACACAGATACATATTTCAGATATATTCCGAATTTTTTTAAAGGTACTGTGTATACAATATAAACAAGAGGGCTTCCCATTAGGCATAATAGGAAGTTCCACTGAAATACCATGTTGACAACAACAAAAGATTAAAAACAAAATGATCTAAACCAATGGAATAATGTATAGACTGCACTGTCCATATACAAATTCATCTACCCACAAAGTACCTGTGGTCTTGTAGATTCTTCAGTCGAATCAGCAATTGCATCAAATCCAACATATGCAAAAAATACCGCAGTTGCTCTGACTGTGGTGGATGTATGAGAGAGAAAACCATTTGGGGCAAAAGGTAAGAAAACTGACACATCAACCTTTGAAAAGCTCGGACTGTGGTGGGTGTGAGAGAGAGAGACTCGGAGGATTAGGGTCAGGGTGGTAGAGCGATGGTGGGCGGGTTTTAAGGTTAGTATTTGGGTGGTGCCACCAGAACAAGAAAGAAAGAAGATGGGGAAAAGGTGCACAATGAGAGTGGCCAGCCACTGCCACTCCAATGGACCCAAAGGTCTCTCTTTAATCCATTCAAACTGTATTGAACCAGAGATTGGAATAGGAAATTGGGCATATATAATCTTTAAACCGTGAAGTAATGCCCAAATGGGTAACTTCACTTTGAGCAAGCTTTGCTGGCCACTTTTTTTTTTATTTCTTCAGACTGCTAATAGTCCTTCTCTTTGGAAGATAATTTTTTCATATTAACCAAGATGCATCAAATTGAGAGAGAGAGAGAGAGAGAGAGTGACTGGGTGACTGCTAAATAAATAATCATCCTTCATACAAGTCCAAAAAGGTTTTCACCCTTCACTCTAAAATGACACCTTTAATTGACAAATTTGATGAATCCACCTATTTATCACTTGAAATAAATAAGGGTAAGTTGTGTCAATCATGTTGAACAATCTAAAGAAATATAAGAGATAAGAAAAGAGGAAGTTAGGGTTTTATTGATACTGCATAATTCAATTGAATACAAGGAAGTAATTTAACATAAATACAAAGAGACTATATATAAGCTAAACAAAACAGGGAAAGTAAAGGACTATTCTACCCTTAATAAATAAAATAACCTTATATTTCTTAACAAATCATACATTAAATAAGCAATCGTGTTTAGAATTATGAGACCTAATGATACAAGGGTTGTATAACTACTCTATTATCATTGACAATGTAACCTAATGCTGCATAGTTGACTTAATGGGAAGACCAAAAACGAAAATCATTCTCATGATTTGCAAGTTATCGGCCCTCCATGATTGTGACAGTGAGATTGTTGATAGAACCCTATTTTTGACTCTGATGAGAAGACTGTGTTCCTGAATAAACATGTCTTTCGGTAAATGCAAGTTGTTTTGGGGAAGGAAGATCAACAATTTCACTACCAATCATCGAAAACACAGTCGACACATTTGGCCTCTCTCTTGCAAATTCTTGGATGCATAATAGTCCTACATGTATATATCTCAATATTTCCATTCTAAAGCGTGGATCAGACATCATTGGATCTACTAGAGCACCAACGTTATCTTCATTCCACAATTTCCATGCCTGAGCACATTAAGATGAGAATCCAGTGTTGGATTTGGAACATTCAATATCAACCGGAAAGGTAAGGCTTTTAAAGATTTGTCTTAGTAAATAAAATGAACTTACAAATCTTAGAAGGCTAAAAGAGTGATCATCATTGTAAAAGCTGGTGTTTCTTCTCCCTGATATAATCTCTAATATCAACACTCTAAAACTGTAGACATTAGACTTTTCTGAAAATATTTCTGTCAATGCATATTCTGGTGCCATATAGCCACTGCATTAAAAAAATTTTTTAGCATAAATAGTATATCATGAAGCAGTTTTGACAAAGAAATGTCTACTTACTATGTTCCAACAACCCTTCTAGTAATGGCTTGATCTTGGTTGCCTTCAAAAATCCTTGCCATGCCAAAATCTGAAATCTTTGGGTTTAGCTATTCATCCAGCAAAATGTTACTTGGTTTCAAATCTCTATGAATAATTCTTAATCTAGAATCTCTATGAAGGTAAAGTAGGCCACGACCAATCCCTTCAATGATGTTGACACGTTTACTCCAATCAAGGAGTTCTTATTTTAGTGAATCTAGATGTTCCATTTTTGGAAGAAGTGTGAAAAGGTTGTAAGTTGAAGGAAATTGAAGGTCAAATGCCTATTATCTTCTGAATGCAATGAAGCAATAGTAATGCATAAGCAATGACTTAGGAAGTACAATTGATTTTCAACTAACCGAAAAGAAATGCATCCAAGCTTCCATTTTCATGTATTCATATATCAACATCTTTTCTTCTCCTTCTATGCAGCAGCCAAGAAGTTGAACAAGATTGCGATGCTGGAGTTTAGAAATCACCACAACTTCATTCATGAACTCCTCTAGACCTTGTCCAGAAAATCTTGAAAGTCTTTTCACGGCTATTTCTTGCCCATCTGGCATTATTCCATGAAAATAATAGTCATAAATTTTATATGGTTCAACATGGCATAAATGTGAGATGAACTTGCATTACCTTGTATACTGGTCCAAAACCACCCTGCCCTAGCTTATTAGCAGAATGAAAGTTATCTGTTGTATACTGCTCTTGTATTCTCTCGAAGCACGCTTTCAGTAGAATACTCCGGATACAGTTCCACCCTTCTAAATAATAATTGCTTACTTTTCTACTTCCTTTCTGATGCTGAAAGAAATTAGTAATGATTTTTATTTGCAATGCAGATTTCTATATGCTTCTAAGATAATTCTCATAAACATACTACCTTTGTGTTTGGCCATCCACCTCCAAAAACAATATGCACAGATTGCAATGGTTATTGACCCTATGCTTACTGTAATTGCAAGAATTGTTTTAAGGATCTTCTCTTTTTCTGTCAAATAGAACAAACTCTTAAGAGATTTCAGTATAAAATGAGCAAAAGAATTAAGGTTGCATTTGAATGGATGGATTGCAAAAAGAAAACTATTGCAAACAACTTGAAACAGAAACAATATGCAAGGACTTTCAAGTTGACTCTCAAATGCAGTGGACATATAAGAATTCTGAACCAGCAAATAACCATAGTGACAAAAGGAAAAGAAGATAAGTAGAAGCATAGGTGAAATTCACTGGTGACGAAACATATTACCAAGCTCTGAATATGCCACTCGAATGTAAAGATCCGCCCCACCATCCAGGAATTTCTGGATGTCAATTAGACTTCCACTCCATTGCATACACCCAATTCCAGAGTAACCTGAATAAGCTGTACATGAACAGTTATTCAAGCACATGCTTCCACAATTGTCTTCTAGACCAGGTACCCACACCTCAAAATTTTGTACTTATACTCTTTCAAGCTTCAAAAATCCATCCCCTTTTCCCTTTTCATTGACGGTATTGTTTCTCTCACATTGCAATGGTGTCTTTCTTTTGCATCCACTAGACCAATTTCCTCGACTCCATTCATCCATATGTTTTGGCTCAAATCCCCTTAAACAGGTACAAATTGGTGAGTCCAGTGAATTACAGCTTCCAAATGGTCCACACTTGCCATAAACATCACACTCATTTTTTGGCGCCCACCACAACACGTTCCAGTCTTCTTTCCCAACAAATCGATACTTCTGCTATAGAGATCCTTCAGAATTCAACTGGAGGTATAATACAAAGGACTCATTGGCATAGCTGAAAGTTATATAAACAGTTCCTTTTTTGTCGTCGACAAGATTAAATCCACTGTCATATAATTTATGCATTGTTGGAATCGTATAAAAACCTAACCATTCCAAGGGCCACTACGCCAGTATGGATGACTACCATTCCATACAAACAACTGCGGGATGATTAGAGGATCAATTCCTGCAGAGAAAGATCCAATGGATGGATCCGAGGGACTTTTCCATGATGCCAGCAGAGTCCTCTCACCTGTTTTTGCATCAGTACCAAGTCGCATCTTCTGTAAGCATGAGTCTGAAGGATGTTGAAAACTCTCCCATATGATCCTTCCACTAGAGTTGTCTCGTAAGACAAGGTTCCCTATATCCAGAAGCTGGGCACTCGAATTGGCCACAAGATTCGAAACATTTGATGACCAAATGATCTCCTTCTGCCCATTTAGGATTACCAGATTACCATCCTCGGATATTGTCAAAATCCCAGATGAATCATTCAGAGAGTTATCTCTATTGGCAACCCATACCGCAATAGTTGCAGGGATGTTATCCAAGATACCAGCATAACGATTTGTAGAATTTCCAGGACTAAAGAATCCAAGCTTGAAGGTCTTTCCAATGGAGACTATAGTTTCAGGGTCTTTGATGAATTGTGTTGGTGTAATTGTGTCTATGGAAGTGCAAACCTCTAACCAAAAACATAGAAGTATGAGAAAAAGGCCATGAAAAAGTGAAAACTTCGGATTACCGGAACGTGCCATATGTGATCTGAGTGCTTGTTGGTGAGGACGGAAGGCTATATGTGAGTTCTATAGACTTCCATGAACAATGTTTAATTTTCCTCCTTCATGATTTTCAAAGCGGTGGAAGATATTTTCATTCTTTTGTGGAAATCTGGCTCACTTGAAAATATATCTCCAAACTGTCATCTTGGAGTGTGGGGTGGGGTTTCCCAAAAGTCATCCTCGAATCTAATTCACACACAAAAAAAAAGTGATCGACTTTTGGAAGATTTTTCTGATAAGGCATTCAAGGTTCACTCCATGACAATGGCCAATCATTGTCATTCATGTCTTCCCTGCACATGGACCACATTGTCATTCATGTCTTAGAATTGAAAGAGTCAATTAGCAGTATCTAATAAGTTCGGGTGAAAATATTTTGTTCCTATTTACATATATCTTTTTCAAGCGTTTTGTTTTATTAATTTTCTAATCTTGAACCAACAGTCTTGCCGTAGAAAAGCCACATTTTTCTGAGAACTGGGAGGCAAAGGCACTCAAGGTTTACCCTCTTATGGTTTGGGCCTATAGCACTTCACCCCCCTCATGGTATGAAACTGAGCACCATAACCACCATATGTTGTTTTTTGAATTAATCTGCTACCAGTTAAAGCATTAAAGCAGACAACTAAAGAAGATGTTTTTCCAACACCATCACCTGATTTTTGGAGCAACATTTTGTATAGAAAATGATCCTCAAGAGCTTGTGGCCTGAGTTACAGCAGTATACGTGAAAATAAACTACAAAACAGTCCAGATATCATTATATGCTTAACAACCACCAACAAGGCAATTCGTCTGTAACAACACAGAATTTTCCAACCCATATCCGCCAATGCATTATGATTAAAATGTAAGCTAATGACGAGTAGCTGACTTATGTAGTCCACAACCTTGTGGATCAAAAATTATCTAGGCTAGATCAAAAAATTCATATGTTGCAAGGCAACTTAAATCGAATTACACAGGTATGTACATAGAAGAAATAACAAAAATTGAAAGTAATTATTATTATTTCCCTTTTATCGGCCTTCAGCAATTGTGATAGTGAGACCATTGAGAGAACGGTGTTTTTGACTTTCATGAGAGGACTGTCTCCCTGGAGAAATACTTCTTTCAGTAAATGCAGGTTGTTTTGGGGAAGGGAGATCTACAATTTCACTACTAAGCATTGATAGAACAGTCGAAACATTTGGCCTATCTTTTGCAAATTCTTGCACGCATAATAGTCCTACATGTATATATCTCAATATCTCCATTTTGAAGTGCGGATCAGATATCATTGGATCTACAAGAGCACCAACCTTATCTTCATTCCACAATTTCCATTCCTGAGCACATTAAGATGAGAATCTAGTGTTGGATTTGGAACATTCAATATCAACTAGAAAGGTAAGGCCAATAAAGATTTGTCTTAGTAAATAATATGAACTTACAAATCTTAGAAGGCTAAGAGAGTGCTCATCATCATAAAAGCTGGTGTTCCTTCTCCCAGATATAATCTCTAATATCAACACTCCGAAGCTGTAGACATCAGATTTTTCTGAGAATCTTCCCACCATTGCGTATTCAGGGGCCATATATCCGCTATGTATATCAATTTACCAGAGAAAGTAAAAGAATTGTAATGAAGTTGAATTATTGCATGAGAAGAAAGTTCATCACATGGAGAAAGATACATATACATACTATGTTCCGACAACCCTTCGAGTATTGGCTTGATCTTGGTTGCCACCAAAAATCTTTGCCATGCCAAAATCTGAAATCTTTGGGTTTAGCTCTTCATCCAACAAAATGTTACTCGGTTTTAAGTCTCTATGAATAATTCTTAATCTGGAATCTCTATGAAGGTAAAGCAGGCCACGACCAATCCCTTTGATGATGTTGACGCGTTTACCCCAGTCTAGGGGTTCTTGTTTCAACGAATCTGAGACATTTGTTTTTGAAAGGACAAGTATGAAAAGTTTGTAAGCTGTAAGGAAATTGATGTTGAGAAGACTGTAATCTTCTTAATGCAAGGAAGTCAATAGCAAATTAGAAGCACTGACTTAACGACTATAGGGGATTATAACTGACCAAAAAGAAATGCATCCAAACTTCCATTTGGCATGTATTCATAGATCAACATCTTTTCTTCTCCTTCTATGCAGCAGCCAAGGAGGCGAACAAGATTGCGATGCTGAAGTTTAGAAATCACCTCAACTTCATTCATACACTCTTGTAACCCTTGTCCAGAGGATCTTGAGAGCCTTTTCACAGCTATTTCTTGTCCATCCGGAAGTTTTCCCTGAAAATAAGCATCAAATCAGTTGCATATGGTTCAGTATCCCATGAAGCCCCAGATAAACAACCATTACCTTGTACACTGGACCAAAACCACCCTGCCCAAGCTTATTAGCACCATGAAAGTTGTCAGTTGCTTTTGCCAAATTCTCAAAACTAAATAATGGCAGCTCTTCAAGTTTTATTAGGTGGGTCTTATCTCGAAGCATGCTTTCAGTAGGATCATCTGGATGTGCTTCAGGTTTTTGCTTCCTTCCTGTTGCAGGAACCTAACTATATGTAATTTTGTCCAAGAATCAGTATATGCAAGTACTTCTGAGCTAACTCCGAGTAGCATACTACCTCTTAGCTTGGCTATCCACCTCCAAGAAATGTAGGTGCAGATGGCAATGGTAACTGACCCAATGCTAATGATAACTGCCAGTTTTACTTTGATGTTTTTTCCTTCATCTGTAAAACAAAACAAATTCAAGGGTTCAGCTAAATTGGACAAAAGAAAAGAAGTTGAATTTAGCTGAATTCAAGGTTTTGAGCTTCAAGTTACATATCTGGAGTAGTTTATTGAACAGATTTAGGGCTAAAGTTCAAGAAATATGCTGCAACTCAAATCAATCGCATAACTCGTCAGGGTAGCTCAAATGGGATGATTACGGGAGCTACTATTTAGGAGGTCCCAAATGTAACTCTAACATTAGAGGCCTGGTTTCCCCAATACACACGATTGGGGATTGAGTGAATGCATCTGAAGTTTATATCGGAAATACGAGTCCACGGGACACGTGGCTGGGACGGTAGTCAGTTGTCAAAAAAACACAGTTCCACATATTCATTAAACACAGAGAAAAAGAGGATAAGTATAGGAGCATCATTCACTACAAGATGATAGAGAAGACAAATTGTATTACCAAGCTCTGAATATGCCACTCGAATGTAAAGATCCACCCCACCTCTGGGGAGTTTCTGAATGTCCAGTAGACTTCCACTCCATTGCATACATCCAATGCCTGTGTAATATGAATAAGCTATACATGAACAAATATTCAAGCATAGGCTTCCACAATCGTCTTCCGTAGCAGATGGCAATTCCGCTAAGTCTGGCACTTTCATGGCCTGAAGCTTCAAAAATCCATCCACTTTGCCCTCTTCATTGACAGTTTTGTTTCGTTCACATTGCAATGATGTCTTTCTTATGCATCCACTAGACCAATTTCCTTGACTCCATTCATCCATATGTTTTGGCCCAAATCCCCTTAAACAGGTACAAATTGGTGACTCCAGTGAATTACAGCTTCCAAATGGTCCACACTTGCCATAAACATCACACTCATGTTCTATAGCCGACCATGCCACTTCCCACTCTTCCTTTCCACTAAACAACCAATTCTTCTGCTGTAGATCTCCTTCAGAATTCAAGAGCAGGTATAATAAATAGGACGGATCAGTTGAATAGGTATAAGATAGAGAAACGGTTCCTTCTTTGTCATCTACAAGAGTAAATCCAGAGAGATATGAAGACTCCATCGTTGGAACTCCAATAAAAAACTGACCATTCCAAGGACCACTACGCCAATATGGATGGCTACCATTCCAAACAAAAGCTTGTGGGATCTTCAGAGGTTCGACTCCAAAGGAGAAGGTTCCAGTGGTTGGATCCGAAGGACTTTTCCATGATGTTAGCCGAGTACTCTCTCCTGTCTTTGCATCAGTACCAATTCTCATCTTCTGCAAGAATGAGTCTGAAGGCTTTTGAAAACTTTCCCATATGATCCGTTCACCGGAATTGTCTCGCAAGACTAGGCTCCCGGTATCCAAAAGCTGTGCACTTGAATTTGCCGCCGGATTTGAAACATTTGATGACCAAATGATCTCCTTCTGTCCATTCAAGATTACAAGATTACCGTCCTCCGATATTGTCACAATACCGGAAGAATCATTTAGTGGCTTGTTTCTATTAGCTACCCATACCGGAGTCACTACAGAGACGTTGTACAAGATACCAACATAACGATTTGTAGAATTCACAGGAGTAAAGAATCCCAGCTTGAAGATCTGGCCAATGGAGACGATAGTTTCAGAGTCTTTGATGGATTGTGTGGATGTAATGATGTCTGTGGAAGTGGAAAACTCTGAACAAAAACATACCAGTATGAGAACAAGGGCCTGAAAAGGCATAACCTTTGCATTGTCGGGATGTCCCATGTGTCATGGACTGCTACTTCCTGTTGAGGACAGAAGGTAGTATGTGCTGCCTATAGACTTTCATGAACAAATGCTCAATTTCTTCACTTCAACCTTATACTTTTCCACGCGAAATCAGATATTTCCTTGAAGAAGCCGTCAGGTTGGATTTCACATATGGTGATTTTCACAATTTCAGATTTTTCTTATTGTTTGGCCATCCCCAATTTAAATTTGAGTTAAAACAATTTAAAAATCTTCTTCAATCTTTGACTCAAACCTATAATAAATCAAAGGAAAACTTATTCTAGACTAGAATTAAAGCCGTCTCAAGGCAAATTTCTAATGATAACTATTTAACATTTCTAAAACTTAAAAGCTCTATCGCCGACCACCACTGAAACTTTCATAAATCATTTAAATACTTGTAAGTAAGTTTTTTTTTTTTCATCTTCCATCTTCTTGATTTCTTGTATTTTTCAAAACATTAATCTTAACCATCTTTCATACTATAACCCTAAGCTTATCAACCAATTTTTTTTTTAATTTTTTCGAGTTAAACATTATCGATAATACAATTTTAGAGCACCGATTCTTTCTAAAATTTGAAGTCTTCGCTACCGACAAATTTAAAAAATTTGTTATTTTATTTCTTTAATGTTCTATTTTTGTTAAAATCGTATGTTTTTATGTTCTTGAAACTAAACCCATGTCAAAATAGTTATAATTTTTTTTTTCTTTATTTGGATTTATAAAAAGTGATAACATATTAGAACAATCTTAGAATTATGGGGTGGTTTCATTTTTTTTTTAAATTATGTATTTGTGGAGAGATAAGAAAGTTTCATTTATTTTATCAAATATCAAGATTAGAATAACACAAAAAAAAAGAGTTTTTGAACAATAAGAGAATTTTTAAAAAAATTTGAATATATATTTGAGTTTGTCTATTAGAGTACTCTATACCAAATTCAGTTGTTTATTTAAATTTGAGTCTAAAATTGAGTTATGATTGAAAATATTCTTATAAATGAGATGTTAATATATTGTAAAAATTTCTACTTTCACGAACCATCAACTTTACTATATTTGCTAAGCATTCCAAAAAACAAAAACGAAATACCAAACATACCGAAACACATTGAAATCTAAGAATTGTATTCAAATACTAATTCATTTTAATTTTTATGAAAACAAAAACATTTCAACCGTTCCGACTATTTTGAAATGAACTTCACTTCCTTGACAATGAGGTATTCAAACCCGCATGCATTTTTGTTGTAGAAGATTTGAAGTCATACAGACATTAAACAATTCCTCTCCTTCTCTTTTTCTTCTTAAACTGCCATTTTTTTTGTGGCACTGCATTCTTCTCAAGTCAAAGATTGCAACGCCCTCATCTGGCTGTTGCTCTAATAATGACTAAAGTTTTTCAAAAGATTCAAGCTGTATAGGGGAATTAAAATACGTAACAAGGTAATTGGGTCCACTAAAAGGGTTAATCTCATTTTGTACCTCAAAAAATTGTTCGAATCTCAATTTACACTTTCAAAGATCAAAAATTTTAATTTACACCCTCAAAGATAGAAATTTGTATCAATGTGCACCCCCAAAGATCAAAAATTTCAATTTGCACCCTCAAAGATAGAAATTTGTATCAATGTGCATCACTAAAGATAAAAAACTCAATTTGCACCTTCAAATATAGAAATTTGTATCAATGTGCACCTAAAATTAAATTAATAAATTATACCTTGATCCCCTCATGTTTGTCACTTAATCATTTGAACTCCTTCACATTTAGAATATTCCCCTTACATCTCATGACGTTTATGCATGTGTAACACATAACCACTTTTCGTTGATATATATTAATATAATTGTTAAAAAATATGATTTTATCCTAATATAAAATTATAATTTTATATTACCTTTTATTTTGTGGATTCGATATACTCTAAAGTTGAAAATCAAGTTTACCATTTGAATATCTAATAAAATGTAGATATTTATATAAAAGGTAATATCTAAAATATTATATAAATATTTATATTTTATTAGACATTCAAATGGTAAACTAGATTTTGAACTTTATAGTATATTGAACCTAAAAAATAAAGGGTAATATGAAATTATAATTTTTTATTAGGATAAAATTATATTTTTTAACGGTTATATTAATAGATATCAATGAAAATGGGTTACGTGTTATACGTGCACAAATGTCATAAGATGTAGGAGTAATATTCTAAATGTGAAGAGGTCTAAATGATTAACTGACAAATATGAGGGGATTTAGGTATAATTTATCAATTTAATTTTAGGTGCACATTGATATAAATTTCTATCTTTGAGGGTGCAAATTGAGATTTTTTATCTTTGGGGTACACATTGATATAAATTTTTATTTTTGAGGGTGCAAATTGAGATTTTTTGATCTTTGGGGGTGCACATTGATACAAATTTCTATCTTTGAGGGTGTAAATTGAGATTTTTGATCTTTGAAGGTGTAAATTGAGATTCGAACAATCTTTCGGGGTGTAAAATGAGATTAACCCTTATTAAAATGCGGGTTGCGGACCATCTGACACAATCAATAAAGGAATCAGGAATGAGAATCGGGAATGACTAAAGTTAGTCAAAAGAAAGAGTTAATCTTAAATTGGATCTCAAAAGATCGTTCGAATTTTAATTTTTATCTTTAAAAATAAAAAATCTTAATTTATGCCCTTAAAAATAAAAATTTATATTAACGCGTACTCGAAGTTAGCAGCCGTAGTTTGTCGTTTAAAACATAATGGATAAATTATACTTAAACCCTTTCATGCTTGTCACTTAATCTCCTTGATCTCTCAAATTTAAAATATTGCACCTACATCCCTTAAAAGTCTAAATATGACTAAAAATGCTCTCCCAATTAGACATCTAAATAATTATGTTCAAGTAATGTATTGCATTGCAAATAAAGAACATTATATAAATATCTGCATTATGTTAGACATTCAAATGATAAATTTTATTTTGAATTTTAGAATATAACGGGTCCACAAAATAAAGGGTAGTATAAAAATTATAATTTTTTATTAGAATGAAATCATGTTTTTTAACGGTTATATTAACAGATATTAATGATAAAGAATTATGTGTTACACGTGCACAAATATCAGGAGGTGTAGAAGTAATATTCTAAATGTGAGGGGGTCTAGATGATTAAGTGTTAAACTTAAGGGTATGTAGGTGTAACTTACCCAACTAGTGTTAGACTACAAACTGAATGTTGTTAATTTCAAGTAATATTGATACAAATTTATATTTTTTAGGGTGTAAATTAAATTTTTTTATCTTCGTAGGTACAAATTAATATCGAAGAGATTTTTTGAAATGTAATTTGAGATTAACTGCAAAAGAAATGCATGACAAAATTGACACTATTTGTTAGATACAAATTAATAAACAAATTAGATATTAGTAAAAAAAAATTGACACCAGCCAAATACCCAAACATGGACAGTCTCCCCCGAACACATCTGTAATAATAAAATAGAACCAAATTTGATTTTTTTTTTCACTTCAAAAATTAATTCAATTTTAATCCAATTGGAAAAGGGAAAGGACGGTTCAGATTTATTCTACATTTCATTCAACGGCCCAAATTGCATCTCAAATCTTCTAAGTTAATTCAAAGGTCCACAATAAATTCTAGTATTTCTATTTCTCCACACAAACCAACACTGAATAAGGAACAATGAAAACTCATCAGATCGAAGGGCCTGATGAGCTTCACGCATCCACTGCCCAGGGTCAGAGGACTTAAGTAGGCTAACTACCTTTAAAGAACTGCAGCCCCATACTGCCTTGGCCCAAGTGCAATCCCTTAAACAATGAAATAATGACTCAACTTGGTCTTGACACACTGCACACCTCCCATTCACCTCAATACTCCTTCTCTGAAGATTGTCACCAATTGGTAATGCGTTAGAATAGACCCGCCAAGCAAAAATTTTAATTTTATTTGGAATTTTCTGATTCCAAATAAAATTCTAGTCCAGTTGTCCAACGCCAGATGAGGGAGATGAATTTGCTGGCCCTATCTGTAGTAGCCTTTGATCCATAATAATATGATATGCGCTCCGAACCGAAAACCTCCCATTTGAAATATAGTGTCAGATCAATCTATCCTCCATTAGAGATATGCTAAGTGGAATGCCTTTGATCACAAATGCCTAATGAGGCATGAAAATTTCATCCACTAGTTTATCATTCCATCTCCGCGTTTCCTCGTTAATAAGATCCCCAACCTTAGTTAGAGTATGAAGACCCCTTCTAGGAGATACTGGCTTAAAACTTGCAGGGGTGGGTATCCATCTATCTGACCATATATTAACTTTGGAACCGTCCCCTATTCGCCATCTTGAACTTGCCTCCACAACTTTCCTTGCTCCCAAAATACTTCTCCAGGTATAAGAAGTTCTATGCCCAATCTCTGCCTCCATAAAAGATGTCGAAGGGAAATACCTTGCCTTAAACACTTGATGAATAAGTGAATTAACCTCTGTATTTATTCTCCAAGCCTGTTTCGCCAACATTGCCAAATTAAAAGCCTTAAGATCTCTACAGCCTATCCCACCCTTATCCTTTCTTGTACACATCTTTCTCCAGCTAACCCAGCGTATTTTCCTTTCCCCTTGCCTTTGTCCCCACCAAAATCTTGTTGCCAGTGTCTCTAATTCCTCACAAAAGTTATCCGGAAATTTAAAACAACCCATAGCATATGTGGGGATGGCTTGCACTACCGACTTAATCAAGACCACCTTCCCTGCTCTAGATAACAATTGTTCACTCCACCCTTGCATTTTATTCCACACCCTTTCCTTTAAATTGCTAAAAACTTCTCTTTTTGATTTACCCACCGTGGTAGGAAGGCCCAAGTATTTATCATGTTGATAGACCCTTTCTACCCCCAAAATTTGATGAACTTGGTTAGCCTGTGCCTCGTAAGAGTTGCTACTAAAAACCACTGCTGATTTTTCCAATTTTATCTTTTGGCCTGGAGCAGCTTCATAAACATCGAGAATTGTCCTGACAGCTCT